TTTAAACCTAATAAGTGGTATAATTAATTCGACGCGTATGTGTAACTGTAATGTAAAACTGTTGATATTTTTAGATAGGAGAGATCCTCGACTGCGGGATGCAGAAGAACTAGGGTGGACTATAATAACTAGAAACGGTGAAGATTATGGACATGCCAAATCAAAAACTCGTGATGTTGATGAGCGTGGACGAGCCAAATCAAGAACTCGTGATGTTGATGAACGTGGACGAGCCAAATCAAAAACTCGTGAAGTTGATGAGCGTGGACGAGCCAAATCAAGGACACGCGAAGCGGAAGAACGCGAGCGAGCTAAATCAAGGACACGCGAAGTGGAAGAACGTGAGCGAGCTAAATCAAGGACACGCGAAGTGGAAGAACGTGAGCGAGCTAAATCAAGAACACGCGAAGTGGAAGGACGTGAGCGAACTAAATCAAGGACACGTGAAGCAGAAGAACGTGGACGAGCTAAATCGAGAACTCGTGAAACAGATGAACGTGGACGAGCAAAATCAAGGACTCGTGAAACCGATGAGCATGGACGAGCAAAATCAAGAACACGAGAACAGGAAGATAGAGAAAGGGCTGAAAAAGCCACACGCGATAAAGAATACGAGATATTATTAATGGAAAAGGAAAAGCACACACTTCGACGTGAAAAGGTATGCTTGAAAATTTTTATAGCACGACAGTTTAAAAAAAACTTGAATGAATATGATCCTTTGTTTACAGACTAAACATGAAACTCATCATGAAAAAGATGACACTCATACGTCTGAAGTAATGGTATGTAGAAAAAATAGATAATCGAATTTTATATTTCTATATAATTAATCCACATTTTTTAATCATACAGATTCATATTGAGGAACTTCGTCAATACAGAGAAATGTCATTAACGTCCAATACGACGGCTCTGGATGTTTTAACTTACTTTCGTAGTGATGGTACAATCTCAGATGCCGATGCTTGGACTTTATTCGAAGTAATAACAGATTTAGGATTGGGTAAATTTTATGATTAATAAATATATATTAAAAATATAAATATATCTTAAAAATATTAATATATCTTAAAAATATAAATATATCTTAAAAATACTAAATCACATAATCTTTTAGAACGTCCATTGAGGGACTGGGAATTTGTTACCAAAGTTACTGGATCTTGGGAATTAGATAAGGATAATTCACTAGTTTTAAAAAAATATGCATACAGGAGTCCACTAACATTACAGGTTAGTATTTTTTATCTACCAACAATGTAAACATTCTTTTATTTACATGTCCAAAAATTTCAGGGTTTCAAAAATACAATGCCAATAATGGTTGGTTTTTTACACCTTGAGATCAAGAAAAACAAATGGCAAAAACGTTACTTTCAAATAAAAGACGGTTCAATTTATCATAGCAAAGATTTAAAGGTAAGAGGAATCATTAATATTTATAGCAGAAAATCTTTAATTTAAATACTTAAAATTTTCAACAAAAATAGGGAACAAATGAAACATTTCTTTGTTCAATGGTATCATTTGATGTATATACTTGTACACATATGACCAAAAGATATCAGACCAAGTTCGCTTTTGCACTAAAATCTCAAGATAGGATTACAATGTTTTTAAATCCAGAAAATGATTACATTCGCTTCTTGTGTGCGGATGACTTGGATACAATGAATAATTGGATTTTAAACATTAGAATGGCCAGAGTATATATATTTATTTCTTAAAAAATAAATTTCTGGAACTTGCCCAAATTTGAATGATAATGTTTGTAAAATTTTATTTTAGAACCATGTAATGCGTCGAGAAAGACCAGAACTGTTTGTTGGGATACCTTCTAAAATTGAAAAAGTACCTTCACCGATTAATCTTGACATGCCGTTAACCAACGCATTACCGGCAGCAGTTTCTGAGGTTTGGTTACATGTTTTTTTTTTAATCAGTAAAATTCATCAATGTAAATAACCTTTACTATGTTTCTTCCTAATATAGACAACCTCATTAATGAGTGAGATTACGTTTGAATTGGCAACTCTTGGCGGACCTGATTTAAAACAAAAACCATTAGCATCTGCTCAAGTAACAACAGTTACACAGGATACGACAGGAACTACTGCACAGAATACGACACAATCTACCACTAATCAATTGGATACTTTGCGTCGTCATGCGCGTAGTTCTTCAGGAAAATTTGTAGACTTTGCTTCCAGTCGCCCTTCAATTACTCCTCAACTAAATACCAAAGAACTTAAGAAAACTGAACCATTTAGTACATCAAATCCGCTTTCTCCGTCTGTTGATGAATCAAGAAAGAATCAATCTTCTGGACCGTTTAAAGGTGGTTCCCTGTTAGATTATGATGAAAAAAATCCACCAATGAAACCCGCAGAAGTAGAAACTGTCACTTTTGCAAAAGGTTCATTGTTAGCAACAAGTGAAGCTTTATTTGAACAAGCAAAAGAGCGAGAAAAAGCTCGCCGAGGTGGTACTATCAAAGATTTGAATGGAAATAATACAATAAAATTCCAAAAGGGATCTTTATTAAGTAAAAGTCCACCTGAAACCAACCAACCATCTCAACCAATTACAGGTCATTTAATACAAATCGAGGAAGGTATTCGCTTTCACAAAGGATCATTATTGGCGAAAAGCAAAGAGTATCATGATAATCACGGAACGAATGATCGGGTAATGGGGGTGCGATCAAAACCTTTTCTTGAATTATGACATTACTACATAGTTTGGGTTTGAACATGGAAATTTGGACATGGGAATTTGGACATCGGGATTTATGCTTCATTTCAAAACAATCTAAATATATATCTATCCTTAGTCAACATATAGTGTAAAATCATAAAACCAATTAAATGTTTAAGTCAAATGCTATAAATTATTAACACTTAGGTATTTTTATTTTTAATTAACAATTTAGTGATTAAGCAATATTATTGAATAAAGTGATGTTACAGTGAATTTAATATTCACAATAACTATAAAAAAAAAAAAAATGAAAAATTTTAACATTCAAAATAAAATTCGAATCGTAAATCATAAAAAACTTTCGATCAAGTTGACTAATAAATTTTATTCTTAATATATAACAATTATTTATAATTATTTAACAATATTTATACTTTTAATCCAGAGTAGTATTAGCAGTAGCTCAAGGTTGTAACTAAGGGTTTCAACCCAGGTTGTAACCCGTGATGGCCGTAATTATACTTATTATAGAGTGTAAACTACCTCATCAATTTGTTCCAGTCCATTCAACGACCGTGATTAAATAATTAGTGATTGAGAACTAAAGAAATCAAACACATAAAATATACTGGAGAATTATCTACGTACTATGGTTATCACATAGGTTACATCAATTATTGGATCTTAGAGCACTGACTCG